AAGCAAAGGTCACCACCAGGCACACAATCAAGCAGCAAACAGATGCTAATCAAGGAACTACCAGAGGAGCAAAACAAAACCCCCAACCCCCCCAGCACTGGCAAGCCATGCCACAGTATATAAATAGAGAGCAAACCCTGACCCATTTTAGCACTGAAGAGTACCCTAGCCGGGTAATGAAACATTTGCAAGAAAAGAACCAAGTTCAGAGAACCCCAAGGACTCCACAAAATCACCATCAGTCAGTTGCAAAAGGCAGCTTTACTTGGAACAGCTTATATCCTGCGGTGATACCTTTAACGCCATCAGACAACAACATCTGCCTATCTCAGGTCCTTGGGAAGGACTCGATAGGTGGATAAAAATGCCAAATCCAGTCTAAACATCTGGCTAACTGTGCAACCAACAATAATAATAATAAAACATCACAGTTCAAAAAACAAACCAGGTAAGGTAAAAAACTAAGTGGCAAGTCTGGTCAACAACAGAGCTCACAAAGGGGCTCCAGACATTGTAGCCCAAGATGTGGGAGAATAGCCGGGTCTTCGAGGCCCTCTGAAACTCCATCAGGGCAGGACCCTCCCAGATTTCAGGGGGACCTCATTCCAGAGGGCAAGTGCTGCAACAGAGAAGGCTCACCTCCTGATCTCGAAAGATGTCACTGTTTAATTGAAGGGATCCAAAGGGCAGAAGCCGTGTCAGCTCATATCAGCTGCACAGACACCATGGGAGATAGAGGATCCCTCAAATAATTGGGCCCTATACCATATAGGGCTTTATAGGTCATAGCCAGCACCTTGAATTGCACCCAGAAGCAAATTGGCAGAAGTGCAGCTCACGAACAGGGGTCCTACGTGAGCATACCAAACCATTCCAATCACTGCTCATGCCATTCTGGACAAGTTGAAGCTTCCAAGTGGTTTTCAAGGGCAGCGCTCCATAAAGCACACTGTAGTAGTCAAGCTGTGAGGTCAGGAGGGTATGAATGGCTGAAGGGCTTCCTGATCTAGGAAAGAGCACAACTGGTGCACCAAATGAAGCCGTGCAAATACTATCTCGGCCACAGCTGCCACCTGCTCATTGAGCAGGAGCTGTAAACCAAGGAAGGCCCCCAGATTGCCCACCATCCTTGAATGGGGAGGTGCAACCCCACCCAAGGTCAAAGTTAGAATCTCCCTGGATCTAGGTGGCCCTAAGAACCACAGCCATTCAGTCTTGGGAGGACTGATCTGAAGACATTCCTCCCCATCCAGGCCCACACAGCCACCAAGCACTGGGACAAGGTTTTGATAACCTCATTTGGCCAGCCTTGGGTCAAAGCCCAGTGGTTTCATGTAGTTGTTGAATAGGAGGGGAGAGAGCACCAAGCCTTGTGGCACCCCACAAAGAATAGGCTTAGGGAGTGACCTCTCCCCCCTCCCCCCAGTTAACACTGACTGGAACCAGCCTTGAAGGAAGGAAGAGAACCACTACAAAATAGTGCCCCCAATTCCCAGGCCCCAGAGATTGTCCAGACGGATATCATAGTGAACAGCATCAAAAGCTGTCAAGAGATCAAGAACAACAAGGATGAATGCACCACCTCCACCCTGGTTTCGCCACAGATCACCGTCAAGTGTAACCAAGGTTGTCTCCACACTGAATCCCACCCTGACTGAAACAGGCCAAGACAATCCATTTCCTCCAGGGTTCTCAGCAGCTGCAGGCTGGCTACCTTCTCAACAACTTACCCTAAAAAGTAACTTAATCTACACATTCTGTGTCTTGCTACAGTGCAAGACACAGAATGTGACAGCCTTGATTGTCCTAAGCCATGATGGGCAACAGAAGTCAATATCTGTGTGATTGTCTCATGCCCTTTCTGCAAAATGTTGTGTACCTCAAAGGGGAATAACTTGATGGATATATAGTAATACCTGTTCTGGAGACTTGTTTATCAAAACTTTGTTGAGCTTCTCAGTTAAGCAAGAATGTCCTTGTTCTCTTTTCAGGGGCCTGTGTCCTTCCAGGAGGTGGCGGTGTGTTTCACAGAGGAGGAGTGGGCTCTGCTGGATTCCACCCAAAAAGCCCTCCATGGGGAAGTCATGCGGGAGAATTCTAGAAATGTGGCTTCTCTGGGTAAGGGCCCTTCCTTCTCTGAGTTCATTATGGAACCGAAAGCAAGTGAGAACTAGTCAAGCAAAAGTCCCTACACAGTCATTTGTTCTTGAAACTTTTCACTTCTTTCTTCTTGAGGATCATCTCCATCCAGCCATGTCTTTCTTTTCCTCTCAACCACTCTTTTGCCTTTCATATACAGTGGTACCTCGGGTTACGAACTTAATTCGTTCCGCGACTCTGGTCGCAGCCCGAATTGGTCGCGACCCGAAGCAAA